TTTCTGGTTGAGTCTGATGGGGTGCCAAGCGCTGGCCCCAAAGTCTATTTTTGGTACTCCCTGGGGACTTCGTTGCTCTGTTCCCCTTGCTGTTCTGTTCCACGCCCTTAGTGTTTAGCATCAGTGTGGTGGGATCAGATCAGGCAGAATTCCCACACTGTGTCTCCAGTTGTCCCCTGTAGGGCTATGGGTCAGTGACGGATGTTGTGTCTCATAGTGGGGCCAGCCATATGGTCTTCTCTGTGGATTGGCTGCTCTGAGCAGAAATATTATCACAAGGCTTGGTGGACCACGCCCACCTCGCAGCACCCCACCACCTGAGACCTCAGCTGCTAGGCCTCCTCACATTTGGAGACTTGAGCCATGGGAACAAGTCCAAGAAGCACCCTCGCTCACGTTCTCACTGCCACTGAGTTGATGCTGACTCATGGTGCCCCTACAGGCAGGGCAGAGCTGCCCCTATGGGTTTCCAGGACTGTAACTCTTACAGATCTTTCTCTGGTGGTGTTTTTGAACTGCTGACCTTGTGGGTAGTAGCCTCAGGTATAACCACTATATTACCACTCCGCGCCCTGTGCCTTACTTCCTTAAGGACACTATGCCAATGTCCACACGTGTGTGCGGGTATGTTATTATTAATGTGGGTGCATGATGCGTGTGTGTGTGTGTGTGTGTGTGTGTGTGTGTGTGTGTGTGTGTTGGGGGGCGGGGCAGAATATGGTAAACTGGAGGTCCAGGTCTTAATGTGGAACCAGAGAGATGGGAGGATGGGAGGCAAAGAGGGGGCAAGAACAAGGGAACTGTGATCTGCAGGGCTGCGCATTGACCTGCCTGCCCCCCATCCCATGTACAAGGAGAATCGAGGAGGGGTGGGCTCTGGCCAGTTCACAGAAGTCCCTGAAGCTGAAGCCCAGTGGGGAGAGAGGCGGGGAGCCAGGGAGAGCCTGAAGTACCTTCTCAGCACTCAACACCTCAGGGACAGAGATAAGGACGTTTGAAAAGTACCAAGATTCCAGGTTTGGGGAGCTAATTAGAGGCAAAAAACATCTAAATGTCACCAGATTGGCCAGGCAGCTGCATCACACCAGCACAATGATTTGGAGACTACCAGGGGAATGGGTGGCACACCCACACGAGCCCTGAAAACTGCCCCAAAAAGCCACCAGGCCAGCTGGAGGGCCC